CTTTCAGGCTTACTGGTCTCAGCACCAGGCTGGCCACACACACCATTCCTCTAGCAGTTGCTGCCATGTCCTAGGAAGACTCCTGGAGGTGACTGAGGAGACACAGAGGGAGGGGCTAGGTCGCCCAGGGGCTTTCTCCTAGGCAGGTCATCTTCTCTTGGCCAGCTACAGGAGGACAACATTCTGACTCAAACTGTCCATTTCATCCCTTCCCCATATGATACCCCCAGAAATACCCCCAAATTCTCCAAGGCCTCCTGGCTCATTTCACCCTGAATTTTGCAAGAAAGTTCCTGTCAATGGGGGAACAGAAATCTCTGGGTGGTGGGGAGTTAGACTCCTTTTTTCCTTCCTTCCTTTCTTCCTTCGTTCCTTCCTTCCTTCCTTCCTTCCTTCCTTCGTTCCTTCCTTCCTTCCTTCATCCCTTCCTTCCTTTCTTTTTTCCATTCATCCTTCCTTCCTTTCTTTTTTCCCTTCTTCCTTTCTTCCCTCCCACCTTTCTTTCTCCTCTTTCTTCTCTCGCTCTCTCGCTGTCTCGCTGTCTCGCTCTCCCTCTCCCTCTCCCTCACTCTCTCTCTCTCTCTCCTTCTCTCCCTCCCTCCATCTCTTTCCCTTCCACCTATATATCCAGTATTTCTTGGACCTCCATCTGAGACAAGGGGGGTGAAAAGCCCTGAGAAACATTGGTAATAGAAATACAGTTACTGCCGATATGGAGTTCCAAGCCCAATGGAAGACACACATTAATTTAATCACATGTTAAACTGTCACTGTGACTAGCTCTATGCCAAGAGGTGCCTGGTTCCTTGAAAACCTGCACCAGGTAACAGGCCAGAAAGGAAGGAAGAATGATCTGAGCTGGGAGCAGACGGAAATGTAGAGTTAACCAGGGTTGAGTGGGACACATTCCAAGCAAGGAAAATAAAACAATACGATTTCAAATAGTGCACTAGACTTTTAATGCGATTTTTTCTTTTTATAATAAATATTAATTGCTTCCATTGATTAAAGACCTACTGTGTGCCGTGACCAAGCACCTTTCATGCAGAGACCCATTATCCTCACCACTCTCGGAGGTAGGCGTCTAACCCCATTTCAGGTGAGGGAACAAAGGCCCGAGAGGCTGGACTCGTTCAAGGACACGCAGCCTGAGAAGGTGAGAACAGAGGTGCCCCAGCCCTCTCTACTAGAAACAGGAGGCACATACAACTTGGGGCATCTTTCTAAAAATAATACACAATTGGTAATCAGAAGGAACTTGTGCAACTGAGCTGTCCTCAAGTATGTGTCATTAACTTCACGGTAAATCTACCTCTGGAAAAGCTGCAGCATGGGCATGGCCATGAGGTCTTAGCAGAAACGAGCTGACCTGCACATGGAGGGCTGGCTCCTCTACAGCAGCTGCAGAGAAATGGGATGGCGGCAACTTTGGGAGCAGTTTGGGAGGGTCAAGCAGTGGGTACTTGCAAAGACCCGACTCCAGTGACCCTCCCACCTCCACCCCCACCCCAGGGGGAGAAAGAATAAGATTCCCCCACACAAGGCCCATCACCCCTGCCCCCACTCTGCTCACTCCCAGCCCCATTCTCTGCCCCCACTCTGCTCACCCCCAGCCCCATTCTCNGGTTAAGCGCTGGCTTGGGATGCCAGCTCTGAGCAGCAGGGCCCCGGTTCAGATCCCACATGAGGGCCAGTGACGCTGCGCCCTCTACAGCTAAGATGATGAACAACAGCTCGACCTGGAGCTGGCTTGTCATGAGTCACCGGTGAAGGCATAGGCTATAGCTGGGGCTGCAGTGGGCTGCCATGAGCTACCATGAGTGGCTGGCCGCCGGCGTGAGCTATTGTTAGTGGCTGGCAGTTAGTCTAAGCAACCGCAGCCAATGTGAGCTGATGCCCAATGGCCAGCAGATCTGCCTCAGCCAGGAAGAGCACATTGATCACAATAAAAACAAGGGCCAGAAGTGACATCCTCCACAATTAGAGTGAAGAACAAAAGGACAGCAACTTGTCTGTTCCCTTTCC